GGGCGGGGTCCCTGCCGCCCTGCCCGATCCCCCCCTCAGTCCACAGTCTGCGAGAAGATCATGGAGCTGCTGGGGCAGAACGAGGTGGAGCGGCGGCAGCGGAAGGTCCTCATCCTCAGCCAGGACAGCTTCTACAAGGTGCTGACCGCCGAGCAGCAGGCCAAGGCGCTGAAGGGCCAGTACAACTTCGACCACCCGGGTGAGGCCGCTCGCCCTGGGGCCCCGCGGCCCTTTCCCCCCGTCTGCGCCGCGGTTGGGTCCGCGGTCAGAGAGCAGCTGGGGCTTCCTGAAAGGGCTCGTAGAAAATGGGAAGTATCGGATAACAGAAATGCTCTTTCCCCCACCAAAATGTCTGTCTGTCACCTGCACGCGTTGGTGTGAGAGCCGACGGCCCTTTGGGCGCTCCTTTGCAGAGAGTGATGCTGGGGAGCTGGAGAGCGTCCCGGCTTGCGCGGCGCTCCATGTCCTCCTTCTCGGCTGTTGAGAGGATCTGTAATAAACTGCATCCCTCCCCAAATCCTTCCCTGACGTTTCTCGTCCACATAAACAGCTGCTCTCGGGATTGCAAATGGGCCAGCGATCTGCCTAGAGCCCGCTGTAGGCTCACCAGGGTGGATGATGAGAAGCCTTAAAGATGTCTGAGGTTTCCTAAATTACTCTTAGCTAACGGACTAAAAGAGTTGCACAAAATTATACAATTACCAAGCGGTTTGGCAAAATTATACAAGTACCAACTTCACATTTGGGTTCTTAATTTCATTGTATTGTAGCTGCTTATAAACAACAAATTCTCTCTTCCTGAACTCTGTAACCAAGTACAGCAATTCTAGGTTGGGCAGGGAGCGTTGGATTGCTGCTGGTAGGAAAGAATAAGCCATAAGTTCCTTTTTTCCCGGTGTAATACTGGACAGAGAGTTTTTCCTCGAAAAAAAATCTGAGCAGAAAATCTGAGCAGAACACTGGATATAGCAACATCTGAACTTCCTCCTCTTTAAACCTTCCTCTTGCAGATGCTTTCGATAACGACTTGATGCATACAACCCTGAAAAATATTGTCGAGGGCAAAACGGTTGAGGTACCAACCTACGACTTTGTGACCCATTCTAGGTGGGTCTCAGTTTTGTGCGAAGTCGTGGGGCGTGCGCGTGGGTGTCCCCCGCTTGACCGCGGTGCGAGACCCAACGTGCGCTGGGTGTCTTTTCCTGGCAGGCTGGCAGAGACGACGGTGGTCTATCCCGCTGACGTTGTTCTCTTTGAGGGGATCCTGGTTTTCTACAATCAAGACATTCGGGACATGTTCCACCTCCGGCTCTTTGTCGACACGGACTCCGATGTCCGGCTGTCCCGCAGAGGTAACGCTCTGCCGTCACGGGCAGCGTCAGCCAGCGCGTGTTCCTTATCCGTACTCCGCCATGCGGTAAAACTCATGGGTTTTATCTTCCCGTGCCAGTTCTGCGAGATATGAAACGTGGGAGGGACCTTGAGCAGATCCTCAGCCAGTACACCACGTTCGTCAAGCCTGCCTTTGAGGAGTTCTGCTTACCGGTACTGAATGTTTCACTAATTTGATTTGTGCTTTTTGGGGGGAGAGAAGGAGCAGGGTCACCTGGGGCTTCGCTGCACTGTAGATGCAGCAGCGGCGGCTTTTGATATTCATATTTCACGGGTCCCACGCTCTCCCCTCTGCCTCATCTATGAAACCGTTACAAGCTGCTTGTTTAAGGAACTTAAACGGTCGGTCCCTTCTGCTGGCAAAGCACCGTGGAAATCCCTAGAGGCTGTGGGCATTTTCTCACGGCTGGCTGCCGTGGCTATTTTAGTGTGGGTCCCTTTGACTGAAACACTCCCACTCTGCATTTATTCTTAAGTCTTGCAGGAAGAAAGACGAGCTTGGTTGCCAGCAGACTCTCTCTCAACAGGGAACGCTGGTGAAAACCTGGAGCAGACCATTATAGCATCTACTTGCTACGCCATATAATGCAGGGCCAATTTAGGTGCGCACGTAATCAAATTAATTTGAAAAAAAACAAACACCAAAAAAACCCCCAGCTCTTTGAGAACAAAATCCTGTGTCTGGCTTAAAGAAGATGGAAAAGGCTAGCTCAGGTGCCTCTTGCTCTAGATCAAAGCAATTTTGAGACTGTAAAAGCACTCATTAGAAATGCTGAATTTGCCAGCCTTTCTAGAAGGGGGGGCGGGGGGAAAGCAGGGGCTCTGTGGTGGTAAAGATCAGTAAAATGTCATCAGCGGCAGGAAGGGATTTCACGTGCAGCTCGGGTACCTTGGCTCTCGGCAGAGATTTAGCAGTGGCTTGTGAAAGGCTGATTAGAACCAGCTCTTAGCAAACAGACCTCAGCCTCGAAGCGGGCGACCCATTTGAAGGCAGCGTACCCTTCAGAAGTGTAAAAGCAAGTCCTCCACGCTTGACCTGCTGCTTCTACCTGGTGATTCACTGCAAAGGGACAGTAAGAACAATCCCTGACCTTAAATCCAGTCCGTGTTAGCCAGTACTTCTCGATTCGTTTAGGTGTTACCGTGACGGAGAGCTTTAACTTGCAGCCCCAGAGCGCAGAAACCCCTCCATCTTTGCCCCCAGCTTTCTGGTGTTTGGTAGCCTCTCCCTAGAATAAAGCTGACTTTTCCCATTAACAGTCTCCACCACCGTTGCTGTTTTGCAGACAAAGAAGTATGCGGACGTGATCATCCCCCGAGGAGTCGACAACATGGGTAAACAGGGAGTTCAGTTCTGCGCCCGATTTCTCTGGGGAGACCGCTTTGGGGCTGGGAGGAGAGCAGGCGGCACACCGCCGCCTTGCCTGCCTGCTTCTAGGGAAAGGTGTTTGGCTGGAGGGGAGGGAGCTGCTCGGCCTGTGGAGGGCTGGGAGAAGTGGCATGCCATCGGAGATGCGGAGCAGGACACCAGTGTCAAAGCTGGTGCTGCGGTTGCTGGTTTCTCTTGAGGTCTGGCCTCGCTGCAGGGGGCAGGCATGGTTTCATTTAAGGGCTTGTTGTTAAAACTTGAGCTGAAGAGGGCTGGGTGCTCCGCATTTTCTAGCTATCTCGGCCAAGAAAGCCCTCATGTCCTGCGTTTCCCGTTCCTCTCTGCAGTTGCTATAAACCTTATAGTGCAGCACATCCAGGACATCCTAAATGGAGACATCTGCAAGTGGCAGCGAGGGGCAATGAACGGGCACGGTCGGACGTACAAGCGCCCATTCCCCGAACAAACAGAGAGCAGCAGCGTGCTGGCGGCCGGCAAGCGCTCCCACCTGGAGTCCAGCAGCCGGCCGCACTAACCTGTCAGCGGCTGAAGGATTTGCCTCTGGTCCAGACCAACACTGAAGACAACTTTGGGAAAGGACTTCAACAGAACGGTTGGTGAAGTGCCCTTTAAATCGTCCCATGGTGGAAAATTCTCGCCGAGGGGAGAGGAGGGAGTTGGCCTACAGCCCCTCTCCCCTCCAAAACCCCTCCCTTTTCTCCCTGCAATGTCTGGAGTAATTATGTTACTTGATGAACTGGTTAAAGGCAGTGCTACTTGCCTTTTTTAATTTTCAAAATGAGATCTAATGCTGAAGTCTCCCCTGAAAATTAAGTGCTACCAGGTGATTAGCAGGATACCCCATTTCCCTGATGCTGATCTTTCTTAGCAGGAAAATTAGCTGCCTGTTTTTTCAAATGAAAAAACCAGTCTCTTTTTATCCAAGACTAGCTCACACCCTGTTAATTTTAACAAGCAGGTGCAGTCCTTGCTTTTCTGTACCTTGTTGGGACCTTGAGTTCTGGCATTGCTCTCCCGCTGGCCAGCCTCCTTTTTAGCCCGTGGGGGCAGAAGGATTGCCCTGTAGAGGAATCTCTCCCCTGAGATAGAGGCGAAACAGAGACTGTCTGGGACAAATGGGAACTCGCAGTTCATCGGGGGACAGGCCCGAGAAGTTGTGCGATTCTGGTTCCTAATGTATTCCTGTCTAAGCTCCTGAACCCTGTTACAACTATGATTGGTTTTTTGTACCTAAATAGTCTCCTTTATCAGGGTTACTGAATGTGTGAGCTCCAGCTGGATTGAGTTGCTCATGGAAAGAGAAACCTGACTTTGTCAGTATTAGTGGCTTTTAGGGAGTTTCTGTAGTGCTGGTTGCAGATTCTGCTGTGCGGAATCCATCCCCTTCCAGAGCTGGGAGGCGAGATCGGCAAGGGGGAAAGCTGTGAATTGCAAGACCCTCCCGACGGCACAAACAGCTCTCTGGACACGCTCCTACCCTCAAACAGGGCCAAAGCGCTTGCCCTGCACTCAGGCAGTTTAAACTCAAGAATGTCTGTTTTCTAAAAAGAGCGGATGAGATGCTGGAAGTATAAACAGTGACATCCCAGTTCCTGTAGCTTACTCCGGATCAGTGATACTGCAGCAACATGAAGTTTCTGGAAAAAAAAATTCTGAAATGAAGTGCCGGGTGAGCCTTTGAAAATGCCCTTGCGGTATCCTTCCTACATCTGGACTTAGGGTGTAATTTTAAGAATGGGGGTGGGGGGAAACATTAAGAGGAACTTTTTCATATTTGCTAGTTTTCTAAAACCAGGGTCTGGCTGTGTTGGTTGTGGGTGTGTTACTGTGGCTAATAAACAAGTGAACAAACAGTGAGCAGAAATGACCATTTTATATAAAAGGTGTTTGTGCTACTTGCACGACACCAGCACAAAGGTACAGAAGGGAACACTGCGGGTGTTCAGGTTGCTCTTATACTCGACAGTTCTTTCTCCCCTTAATGCAGAATTGGTAGCTTTAGTTCTGTAATGGCTGAAGCTTTAGAGAAAACTTGCAGTCTGCACTGTCATCCCTACAGTCTTTTCAACACTGGAAGTTGGTAAAGGTTCGTTAGCTATTAGCGATCACCACAGTTCAGCGGTGCGCCTCTGTAATGCTGAGGAGAAAGCAGTTCCTTTCCTAACTGCTGCTGGGTGCTGTTTAGCTCAGGGTGACAGAGTGTGAGCTGCTGCACCGAAGCATTAGCTATTGGCGCCGATTTAAGTAGGAGCAAAATAGTCACTAAAACCTACTTTGAATGACTCTGGTGGTTGCTCATACCTTCCTCTGGTGGGGGGGAGAAGGGGGCTAAAGCCAGCCTTGAATAGCATTTGTTAGAGCAGTAAAAAACACCCTGGTCTGTCCAGGACTGCTGTTCTTGGTCAGCTTTGAGCTGTATTGCAAGATCCTGCTGCTGCAGCCGCGTGGGGAAAAAAAAAAATCACCTGTGGCGTAGGTACTGTAACCCTTGTTGTGTTACAGATTCCCCAGTCCTTCACTTGCACCTTCTCCTGCCCTGTGAATTCCACTGCTGGTGCAAGCCAGGGCACGGGCTGAGTTACCTACACTGTTTTCACCCTGAACCCATGTGTACAAGTTAGAACAGGTTTCTTTGTCAGCACGATCAGGTCTACCTTGCTCAGAGTTCCTCTTCCCAGGGGATCTGCGGTGTAACCCTGCAGCCCAGTAAATACAACACTGCCATTGCTAGTAACAGGCCACAGGATTCTTCTGGCTTTGGCTGGCTTCTTGGCCTGCCCGAAGCTTTGTTTTAGCTTGTTTAGCTGTAACAGCAATTTTTTAATGTCTATTTGTTTTATTTTTGCTTAGCTTCATAAAAATTATGGTTATGCCAAATGATTATACATAGATAATAGTAACAAGTCGTTATTCTATGCAGAACGAACTATTTATAAACTTAGCTTAATGGTGTAATGTAATGAAACAGGGATGACAGATAGCAGAGTAATGAAAGTGGAGGCAAATAATGCGTTGTTGAGGAATAGAGTCATGGGATGATGCTGAGGACTGCAAGGCTGATTACTGATAGCTAAAGATGTGTAAACTTTGGAGCTGGGAAAACCCAGCTTTTAGGAGTAACAAAGAAAACAGAGAAAAGTATCTGCTATGTTGGAGAGTATCCATTTATAGTAACTTGTTCTAAGGTGGAACTGCAGACCAAGGTGCTAGGGAACATACAGAATAGCCCTAAGTGCAACATGGTGCAAGAAGGAAGACACCATCAACATCATCCCAGGGAAGAGGAGGAAGAAACCCTTGCGGCATGCTCTTCCCAGCAAAGGGCCTGGGATGCTGTGGACTGCAGTCAGCAACCTTCAGACCCTGAGGGGCAGTGGAAGGGTGAATGTAACCGGGGTAGAGATGGGGAACTGTGCTCATAACAGCTATGTTACTGTTCAGACCTTTTTTTGTAACAGTATTCTTTTATTTTCTTTTTCTGTAATTAATCATCTGGACTACTATCAGTTATTTGATCAGACTGTTAAGATTTCAATTATACTAACAATAAATTCTTGGCTTTGCATAAAAGGTGTTCCCTTTTGCCTGTAACAAGAGTGTAATTGTTACTGTTTTCGGATAAGGATGTTCCAGCTGTCCTTCCAGCGCAAGTCCTTGAGTTCGGTAACAGACAGCGAGGGCTCCCCATAGGTCACGGGGCTGAATGTGCAATAGACAAGGTAAACCGAGGAGAACCAGGCTACGATCAATGCACTGAACATGCTCTTGAGAAGCAGGGATCTGGGATGAGAGAGGGAAGGGAAAGAACAGTCAAGTTACATCAAGGCTGGCCAAACACTTCAACCAAAAGGAAGACCTACCTATGGCCTATCTTCTCTAAATGCCAAAGTATGGCCACTGCTGGAAAAAATCACTGCTTTCCCTGCAGCAGCTGGCCAAGGTGACAACCCTGGAGAGAACTGCATCACTTGTCTATCTGTTAAAACCAAATACCTGCAGAGGTGATCGCCGAGATGCTGTAATACAATGGGAATCAGAAGAATCTGGAATGTGAGGGCAGGCAGGTAGTGGTACAGGAAAAGTGTTTTCTCCATCAGGAAGAAGGGCAGGTAATTCACAGCCCAGCCTCCAACACAGATCCCCCCGGCTGACACCCACAGCTGCCATGCACCTGCAGGAGACAGGAGAGATCTCAAAGCATGGACCCTGGAAACCTAAGGTCTCCAAGAGGTTGCCTCCTTGCACGGTATGTTTTTTTTCCCTCACTCTTTAGGGTTTGTGCTAATATGACCTTTAACTTGCCCACGCTCAACGGAGGGAAATGGTTAAATTTTGTCACACTTTTATGGAGTACCCATCAAGGCAGATTACAGCCAACATGAAGCAGCTTCACGGCATGACAATAAAATGTACTGCCAGAAAGGTCAGCGTAAAACTGCCCAGCCACACAGAGGAGATGGTACCTCTGCTGGAAGGAACATCTAAAATAAACCCCTCCCCACACAGCCAGCACCCACCTCTTTTAAGTCATCACAAAAGGGCTCAGTCGAATCCAAATCTAATGCCTGGTGATTTTTTACATCCAGGGAATGATTCAAATAAATATTATGCTGGCTACTATATTGTCTCATGAGGCGATGGGCACATTGTGATGACCATAATCAGTCTCTCTGTGGGCTACTCTAGATGTTTGTGTGTCTCAAATAAAAATTTCAGGGTTAGGGGGCAGGAAAAAGTGCTAGCATAGCCAAGCACATAGTTGCAAAAAAATGTGGCTTTGGATCCATTAAAGTGTAGCACAACAAGAGACAACCCCCCAACCTCGACACAGACACCCACAATGGAATCAGACCTTCGGGAATGTCGTAGATCTTTCTCCTTCGTCGTACCAAGTACCACAGGGACAGACAGATGTAGACCAGAGCAGCAACGTTAGCTGAAGCCCAGATGACAACATTCCCAAGGAGGTGGATCTGGGCCTGAAGAACAGAAGATGGCCTAAGCCAGTAGCAGGAGCGTGCTGCAGTTCTTTTAGGTAAGTTTAAATACTACCTATACTTGTTAAATTAAATGTCAGAATGTGCTTGGCTAGTAACCTGATCTTTCCTGGAACAAAGCCAGTTGATAGACTTTGCTGCTTTAAGACTCTTTTGTAAAGTAAGGCATTTAAAAGATGCTATTGGAGATGAACTCATCTTCTAAATGGAATCAATAATGGAAATATATTAAACTGCAGTTTTCCTTTACCAAAAAAAATGTGCAAGACGACATAATTTAATTAAAACCAACTACTGTCAAAGCTGTATCACATGCTAAAAAAAACACTCCCAACCCTCAGGGAAAAAAATATTCTTAATAGAGGAAGAGTCCATCCTGGAGCAGCTCCTTGGCTGGAACTGCAGCCCTGCTCTCACCTACACTCATGGAGCTCACACCTGACCTGAAGTCTGCTTTCTTCACCAGGTTCACGTTTACTTCTACCTCTCGTACTTACACCAGAGGTTGGGTGGAGCCAGTAGGCGATATTTGTGTCCATTGTGATCCAGTCAAGAGCAGAGGAGCTGTACTTATGTTCTGTGTCTTCATTTTTTAATGTGAGTATTTTCCACTAGGAAAAA